TAGATTGATAGGAACGCCCATACTTTTGTTTATTCCTTTATATGTTACAAATTCTATAAGAATATCAGCGAGTGTGAACTCAAACTGGTTCTTATTTAGTTCACTTTAAAAGAGTTGAACGAGTTTGGTAACAAGGCAATAATTATGTCAACTTGAAACTTAACACCCAAGTCAGCCCCATTGACCTCCAGTTCAATTTTTAAATAATAAATAATCATTTTCCAAAATTTAATCTTTTAGTAGAGTTTCTTAGGCTATCTCAATGGTATTCAAGTCTGACACAGTACTAAAGCATACATTCTATCTAATCTCACCAAAACATCTCATTGACATTTAATACGATGTTTGAAAAAAAAAAAAAAAAATAATGCAAATATTAACTTTAGAGCGTATTCGAGATAAACTCTAGAAATGTAGCACCGAACCATATTATTTGCCTTATTTCACTTACTAAAAGAATTAAAGTTATCTTGGGTATCTTAAAGTAAAAAGGAATTAGGTATGGGAGTAGTAAATACATTTTGTACCCTTACGTTGTGAGTAAAATACCTAAGTTCCTTTTTCAGTTTGTATAAATGAGGTCCAATTACATTGAATATGTAAGCAAGCAGATAAAAATGGATTAAACATAAATAATCTGAATATAAATGCATTAATACAATACATAAGGTGAATTATTTAACATTATCATGCATATTTAAAATTAAAATGAGTTTGTCAACCACATAATATAATAAAACTCAATAGAATAAGAGTTCATTATCACTATTGGTGAACAATCCCTATTAATTAATGTGGGTCCCTCAACTTCGTAGCATAATAAATTACACAATCAATATGTCAATAACTTATCCTGATAGAGGAGTTCATTATTACTATTGCTGAGATTCATTTGCTATTAGGTGAGCACTTCCATTAAAATATCTGTGGGTCCCTTAACCACTGCGCATGAATAATCGGATAACCAATACGCCAATAACTTATTCGGTTGACGAAGTTCATTATTGCTATTGGCAGGCAAATCCTATCATTTCCATATCTCTTAAGACAATGCCTTGTCTATATATATGAAATGATTCCCGATTCTGTTTAGCCTTTTTAAAATCACCTAGTGTAGACCACTTCGTTGGGGAGCTAACACTATTGATATTAAATTGAGTGTATAATGTTATTAATGCTCCAATGAAAAATAAAACACTAAATATATTGTCATTATAATCTAAACTTTTTAAATCATGCATGAGGCCTTATTTTTAAAGATCTAATTATAATGAACATTTAAGATTTTTATTTTCATGAGACAACCATTCTTGTAATTTTTAGACTCTTCAAATTATACGTGGTGCCTTATTTTTGAATATCTAATTATAATGGTTATAATAACGAAGGCCATGGGGTAATGTATAAAAATTCCCGCTCCCACTCAATTTTTAATTATTTATAATTAGGGTTTTCAATTCATGATTTAATGCATGCAAAATGCCTTGATTTTAATCCAATTAAATTTAGAAAATATTTGAACTTTTAAATGATCCACTAATATTTAATTTGAGGCACACTTTAAAAATAATTTACAAAAATAATTTTTCGTTTCCCAATAAATGTCCTCTAATTAATTAGTAATCAAATCAAATTAATTTTCATAATTTAATTAATATAAATCAAGTCATTTAGATAAAAAAAATATGGATCCAATGCATGAACAATAATAATTAGCAATTAATTATTCCATGCATAACATAAATAATTAAACAACAGACAAAAACAAATAAAATAGCCAATGGAATCAGCTTTTAACATTTAAATACTATTCTTGCTATACGGGCGTCCACCAACGGCTTGAAAACACCTGTAGGGAGTTGGAACGCGCTAGGGAAGCAAAACAGCCCTTGGAACGCGCCCGGAGGACCCCATACGCATTGGCAAGCGCCTGGGGAGTGCAGCAACGCGTGGCACGCGTTGGCACGCGCCTGGGAGGCGCTGCAGTGCGTGGCACGCGCAGGCATGCACCTCCACACGCCTGCACGCCCATGGAAAAAGATGGCTTGGTCTGGCGCGTGCTCCTCACACGTCAGCAAGCTTGTTGACTCTGGCACGTGCTCCTCACACGCCAGATGCATAATAGGTGCGCTGCACCTAATCCGGGCCCTAGATCCAATGGATATGGATCCGGGCGCATGGTACTACGATGTACTACGCTGCACCGGATTATACAATCCTCCTCCGGCGCTGCCCTCGCCGCCGGCAACGCTCCGGCTGTCGGAAAATCGCCGATAATTCTAGAAAAATTAAAAAACAATTCCAGAATATTAAATTAGGCTCAAAAAATTTCAGAAAAATTCTAAAAAATTCCTGAAGCCTAATTTAACCCTCTTGGACCTTCTTGAAGCTTCATAGCATCCTTGATGAAGATTGCATGGCTTTAAAAAAATATTTACACTTGAAATACAATGGAAAAAATTAAATTACATCATTGAACTTTCAAATGGCTAATTTAAAGCTTTAATTACATTAATCCAAAGATAAAATTACATTAAACCTATAAGTTTTATCCATGGCCCATAAAAACATCATCATCCATTCACAATTATGCATACATCATCATCATGTATTAATATATATCAACATATTAAATCATACATCAACATACATCAATAAATAAATAAATATATATATATATATGTATATATGCATATATAATTTGGATCCATGAATGATGATTTTGATAAAAACATGATCTCTAGTAATGAATCAAACCATGCTCTGATACCACTGTTGGAAAACGTGCAAGTTTTAAAAACTTTTTGAGGGATTTTCATACATAAATCTTGATTCATCACATAGAGACAAGTTTTATGCAAAAATAAATTATGATGTATCATTCAATTAATAGATTGAATACTTACATCAAGTTTTGAGTAAACCTTATATCTCTCCTCTAAAGTGAATGTTCTCACTTATTGTAGATCTCTTTGCCAGATGCCTTCTCCTTCTCCATCTTCTTGGTAATAGTTTTGCCTTTAGGAATCACCCATAACCCTCCATGAATAACCTTGAAAAACTAGGCTTGTGGGAGCCTCCATTAAATATAAGCACTAACCCTAAAATTCTAAAGAGAGAAAAATATATTCTTTTTCTTCCAAAAGTCTTACCTAAAATATAAATGGACCATGTATATATAGGCAACATAAAAATAAGAAAATGAAACAAAAAATCCTTCTCAATCTCTAATTCACGTCTCAAATCTAATAGAATTCCAATATCAAATTGGGTTATGAGTGAGAATCCTTTGGGCTTATTATTTTATTGGCTACAATGAATTAATAATTAGCCCGATCCATGGACCCAATTCAATTAATTCATAAATTAATTTCTACTCCACTAAAAGAAATTAATTGAACTCCAATTAAATAATAAATAACCTTTAAATCAATGTTGCACTTTGACCCCTCTATGCATAATTAGTTATCGGATAAATAAAGCCATCAATCCGACTACTTAATTAATATATTTATTTAGTACCTTTGATTATTTCCGGCTTAATCACAATAAAACATTTGTTTGACAAAAATAATAATTTAAATAAATAATTATATAATAAATCATTTTGCCTAAAAGTACACGAAGGCCTTCGAATTTACTTTGTGATCAATCATAATCAATACAAAATAAGTAGAAGTAGCAACGATACAAATATTGAAAATATAACCCTCCTACTATTAATTACATAATTACCCAAAGTGCCAGTCTAAGAATTCCGAAAATTCCGCCGAACAAATCAAAGTAATTACTAATTAATAAAAGAGTCTATACTTCTCTCATACTTAAGAGTCAAATGCCATGAAGGTGATAGGGAGCAATTACATATGACGGCTCTCGCAATATATCTCAACTTAACGCGGATCCAGTTCAAGTCTTAGTTAATAATGAGTTCATTCATAATTACCGACTATGAACAATTTATGATTATTATTTATATTCATTTATTGATCGCCATCACATACATATATAATATTTCTCGTAATCAAGTGAACACTATCAATTCTATAATGAATCGAAACATAATACATTGAATTCACCAATTATATAAATCATAAATATTTCAGATATGTCAGGAACATATGTCATTCTAATCCAAATAAGAATTTGCTATGCCAAGGCATATAAATCCCAACAAGGTTCTTATAGCAGCTTTTTTTTTTTTGAATCGGGAGATATTGTATCCAGCAAAAAGGCAAAGTTGTACACAAAGAAATATGGGAGATTTACAAAGTTAAGGGGTTTTGGTGAAAATTTTAGTTTCTGCAGTTATTTCTGCTAGGGACTAGATAATGTTTCCTGCCTTTTGGCACAAAGAACAATATTTAAAACTAAAATTATGGGATTTGTAAATTTTTTTTTTCCTAGTTGGTACACACACTTATCTCTTCTGAGACTTGAACATCTGACCTCCCTTTGGGAGGTAAGAGGCTAATACCTCTAAGCCACTGACCCGTTGGTGGGATTTGTAAAATTGCATCTACCAATTCCTGCCACAAGAACATATTCTCATTAATACTGGATCAGGGAATAAAAAGAACTGAATTTTTATTTAAATTAACCCTTGACATAGCAATCTTTTGAATACGTATAGTTGGCAAGATCTTGATGTAGAATATAAACAATTTTAGATGTTAAAGCTTCATGAAAGTAGCTAATACATAGATGATATGCAGAATGGGTTTTACTTCTTTATTTTTGGAATTTTTGTACCTATCAGATCATGTGCACACTCTTGGACTTGTGGAATATAGAGATGGCAGGCATGGATTGCGTAATGTATTGGTCTATTGCCTACCATTATTTGGCAACATATTCTGCATCTTGCACTGCCCTTTCTCTTGCATGTTGATCTTTCTATGATATGGTTTTTCTAAATTTGTTAATTCAAGTTAAACACTAAAACTTTCAAATTAATTTGAAGCTTAATTTGGCTTATATTTATGCAATTTGAATTGCAGGCTACCATTGGAATTGATTTTCTTTCGAAGACAATGTACCTAGAAGATCGAACAGTTCGGTTGCAGCTTTGGTACGACATCTTCCATTCCTTCTAGTCTAAATAAGTTGATTTTTCACCCATGGGCTTCCTCATGTACATTTTGAAGTAGAAATTTTATAAAACAATTTGACGAATGTATCTTAAAATTTAGTAAAGCAGTTATTACAATTTATAAGAAAACCTTTTAGTGTTTTCTGCTGTATTTTAATAAATATATATATATCCTCCTCTAAAAGATAAAAATAGTCCACAGTTTTGTTCTTTTTTCATTGTAAGCTTGATAATGCCTTAAAAAGTTGTGATGAACATTGGGCTTGTGGATTATCTGGTTGCTTTTTGCAAAACTATTTTTTTCTTTATTAGTTAACTTGCTCAGATATATGTTAAGTGTTTGTTATCCTCTGTTCATGTAATATCTATTATGCAATATTTGACATTTTTAAATTTACAGGGATACTGCCGGGCAAGAGAGATTTAGGAGTCTTATTCCAAGCTACATTAGAGATTCTTCTGTTGCGGTGATCGTCTATGATGTTTCAAGTGAGTAGTAATCAATCTTACAGTATGGCATCTTGGTCAAATTATTTCAATTTAGATTTTTGCCAATTTTCATGTCAGTATGAATACATTATGCACGAAATAAGGGAAGAATTTTTTTTTTTTTTTTTTTTTTTTTTACCGTGGTATTATTTTTGTTCATCAAGACTGATTTTGAAGAGAGAATGGACAAACATTTTGCATAATTCTTTTATGTCTTTAGATTTTTCTCTTATATTTGAGTAGAATAAGCTGTATTAACATGTGCAAGCTCGTGCTAGCATGTTTTTTTTACATGCACAACATGCATGCACGATATGATACATACATGGTACTCACATGCATATATAAAGTTTTCATGTAATTCGAGTCTTAATATATAATTTCACATTTTATGAAACGTCCATATGTAGTCTCTTTTTTTTCCCTCGATTTATGCCATCCATTAAAACCTGTAGTTTTCAATTGTCACCATGCAGATCGACAATCATTTTTGAACACTTCCAAGTGGATTGAGGAAGTACGTACAGAACGAGGCAGTGATGTCATCATTGTTCTTGTTGGGAATAAGACTGATCTCGTCGAAAAAAGGTGGGGGGAATTAACTGATAAATTACATATTTTCTTGTTTGAGAATGGCAATTTTTAGCACGTACCAGTTACCTATGACTTATGTATGCCTCTGTATTTTATCACCAAATATGATGGTTTTGTCTTAGCTTTCTGTATTGGATCGCATTGGGATGCATACTTTGCCATTGTCATGAGTACTGCGTATAGTTTCTATTTGTTCCCCTTTTGGGCAGCTTAAAACTTTGAAACTCAATATTTTCCTTCTTTTCCTCGAGCTATTTCCCTTATTTCTTGGCAGTGTTGGGCCTTCACCCCCCACCCCCAAAAAAAATAAAAGTAAAAAAGTAGTTTAAGCATTTTGCTATTGATCAAGCAAATCAGGTTCTTTAAGAGTTTTGTTTTTATTATAAATAGGAAGGGACGCATCACAATTCACCAATTATTTATAAATACCTGAATATCGTATCGAATTTTTTTATTTCGAGATTTATTCTGAATTTCTGATGCCGCCGTTCTGGTGATCAAACAGACAAGTTTCAATTGAAGAAGGAGATGGCAAGGCTCGTGAGTCCGGAGTCATGTTCATCGAAACCAGTGCAAAGGCAGGATTCAATATCAAGGTGGAGACCTCGAGTCCTTTATACTTCTTTTTTCTCGTTAGATGCCAGTAGTAATTACTAATTCCTTTGGTAGGCTATTTCCGAGAGATGTAGTTAATAAGTTTGTAATGATGATCTTATATGACTCACATAATGATCTCCTCCTATTCTGATGCAAAATGCTTGCTCTTTGCTAATCTAAAATTGCAGCCTCTGTTCCGGAAGATTGCTGCTGCCTTGCCGGGAATGGAAACCCTTTCCTCCACGAAACAGGAAGACATGGTTGATGTGAATTTGAAACCTGCCATCCATACATCCCAAACAGAGCAGCAGGGAGGAGGTTGCGCGTGCTAGAGAATGTATTTTAGGAGGAAGAAAAAGATAGGAAAGCATTTGAATCACCGGACACCAAATGAAAATCCTGCAAATGTGATGTTGCAATTTGTTAATTCCAGTGTCAGATAAGATCGCGGCAGTTTTGATGCTTTTTCTTTAGTGTACCAACGCGCTACTCAAGTCACCAGAGAGGAGATGGCGGCAATGGTCTGCTTTAAGATACTGAGATTGGTAGTTCATAGAAGTGTTCTGGTATTGTTGTTACTATTACTATTTTTTTAATTTTTTTTGGTTTTCTCACTTTATAATTTTCTTTTTTTTGAAAATTACTTTTATTTTCTTTATGAGTTCTTTTTTATATGTTTGTATTTGATTTCTAAACTCTATTCAGGAAGTTATTTGCAATAGAAGATGACACTTAATGTAGGAACAGAGATGATTTATAGGCAGCGCGAGTTTGTTATCCATTGTCAGTTAATTCAATTCGTATATGAGCTATTTTAATTTCATTAGAGCCAACTATGAGTTTGAAATTGGATTGTCTACATAACCATACCTTGTGTTGTGTAGAACATGAAAACAGAATCATGTGGCAGAAAACCCTTAATTTTACTAGTTTGATAGAGTTTTAGGTTTGCATCAGATTCAGAGCATTACACACACAGACAACTCTATCTCATGTTTTAATTCCAAACATCCCGCCGCGCGCGGGGATAGTTCAAGCAAAATATGTGCAAAATTGTAAGGCTCTAACTCTCAAACTCCCTTTGGGGAGGAGGAGCGATCATACCATTTGGACTAATGCTCGTTACTACGAATCTTATTTACTTTGATTTCTGGCTTCATGGTCCTATAACTCTGATTTGGCAGCTATATTTCTCAGGAAGGCATGCTCAAATACTTGTCTGCAAAATTTCCCAAGTTCTGCTATCAATAAGATTATTTTTGGTTCCGTGAAAATTGAAGCTTTTTGAATCACATTGCCAATGAAATTCAAACTATTCTGCATCATTTCGTCATAATAAGTAATGAAAATCGAACTATAGTAGCCATGGAATAGTGGTATGCTAGGAAGCATCAACTAGAATTACGATCGTGATTCCAACTTATGTACAGTGAACAAGAAAGAAACCCAAAGAATTTAACAAAATTAAAGGGGAAGAAAATTTAACAGCAATGCTAAAAAAAAAAAAAAAACTCCTCCCGCAAAAGATCGGGGAAGGGAATCTTATTAGACATGAACAGGCTCATCACCGATAAAAGTTAAATCTTATTAGACATGAACAGACCCATCTCCAATCTGTCTAACTCTCAATGTGAGGTAAATTAATACAATTGTTCCGATACTGGACCTGGAAAAAATATATATATGTTACAAGTCAATAATTGGAAATCAGTTAAAGAAAACAGTAACTGAATTTAACAACTTCTCAAGGTAAACTGAAATCTTGCATTCGAATTCAAAAAATTACCATTCATAATTGCCAGCAAGAATTTTTACGAACTTGATATTGATAATCAACGAGTCTAAAAATTCATTTCGGGAATATGTTTGCAGTAAGAATTATAAACATGAAACAATAGCCCTAGAAAAAGGCATGCAAAAAAGTGGCAAAGCATTTATGTTTACATGCAGCATCAAGATTTCAGTTAGAGCAGCTTAATCACGCGGGGGCATACTTTACTTCAACTAGCGAGTTTAAGGTTCTATTCATCTTGGTGCACTGGGCATGGTATCCCATCCTTTATGGGGGGTTGTTAGCCTTTAATGGGCAGTTCAAATACTTACTTGGCATGTCTTTTTGCTGGAATTATAGTGGTACCATCCAGTTAGAAGCGAGAAAAAGTGTTTAGCAAGAAAGAGGACAAATTTTGCTTTTACCATATTAAAATTTTAATCAAATCAGTAATGATAGGCTTCATGAACAAATTTCCAACAAAAACCAGAAGTTAAAAAAAATGTCAACAGCAGCATAATTTCGATTAAAAAAAATGTTGAAATCAAGAAATCTATCCCTGCTATTTGGGTTAGGTACAAGAATCCTTCACGATTTTCCTTCATGTGGGTATTGTGTTCAGTTAAATTTTAGGATATAATTTCTTTTCAGTATAACTTCTTACTAGTGTGCCAGATTGGGCACCTTTGCATACCTAGGTGCAGTTGCACTCTTACTGGTTTTCCCTCCCGTGGCTTGTTACTAACGCTCAAGTAGTAAGAATCTGTTAATTCTCAAAAACCCTCTTTATTCTGGTACAAAATTTTAAATTATTCAACATTATGTATCAGAAAGTATGACGTCTAAAAGTTTATTCTTAAATATTTCGATTCTAATTGGACTAGCACGTAATGTAACAGATTGCATATCATATGCCATGAATATACTCCCCCTCTCTTCCCACTACTTCCTCATTGATTCATCTAAACAACAAAATGCTTACTCATGGGCGCCTTTTGGTCAAGCATATATACAATTCAAGGTTATTACATCGCGGCTATTAAAATATATAGTGCCTTACCTATTCTTATCCTGAAATAAGCAGCTAAATGAAGTCTTAAGTAAACAATTTATGACTAATTTGACCTCATTTAATAAAGCCAAATCATCAATAAGGTACATGCACCGCACTATATCTTCTCGATAAGCATTGGATAGTTCATTCCTAATATCATGTAAGATGGAGGCTCAATGCTAACCTTAGATGTAAGAACAGAACATGGGTTATTCATTCATCGCTCCAATTATTTTCAGGCTAGTTAAAGCTCCACCAAAACGAGCGTGCACGTGTGCCACAAAACTCAAGGATGCAGACAATTAAAAAGATCAAGAGGCAGATCATGCAATAACTGGTCAGGTTACATTAAGATTCTAATGACAATTGACATTCCATAATTCCAATAGATAACTGGTAAGATAAGTAAAATGCATGACATGATGGTACAGAGCTTACAAGACTGAGGACACGAGAACAACTTTTCTCGAATTGAATGAGGCAGAGCGCTTATATTTCCTCAATCTGTTATTAGGCGTATCATGAATTCTTTCAGTCGTTGCTCCATCTGTTAAATCAAACAAGTGACATTTTACAAGTAGATTATCAGATAAGGGACAGTTTGTAAACAATTATTAGCATTTCAAGATAAACCAATACATGTTTCTTATATAACAGGAAGAAGTAGACTGATCTCCAAGTTGAACAAATTTTCAGTTCAAAAATCCAAAATATGTGTTGTACAAACTATTTGCGAGTCATTGTTTTGGGTAAAAAAGACGAGAAAGGAAGAAGAGTTATACAATGGATCATGACCAATGGTTTACGTGTTCTTGTAAGAACATCTAGATTTGTGATAAAATAGAAGTATGCTTTTAGCAATGCATGTAATGACCTCCATCCTCTTTCTTGGTGGTATCATGAACTCTCTCAGTCGTTGCTCCATCTGTTAAATCAAATGAGTGACATTTTACAAGTAGATTTTCAGATAAGGGACAGGTCACAGTTGTAAACAATTCTTAGCATTCCATGATAAACCAATACACATTTCTTATATAACAGGAAGAAGTAGACTGATCTCCAAGCTGAACAATTTATCAGTTCAAAAATCCGAAATATGTGTCGTACAACTATTTGCGAGTCATTTTTCGGGTACAAAAATACGAGAAAGGAAGAAGAGTTATGCAAGAGAAGAAGTTTATGCACAAAAAACATATCAATATTCAGGCCAATTGGATTAGCCAAGCCCTGCATGTGGATCATGCACAATGACTTCCGTGTTCTTTTAAGAACATCTAGATTCATGATAAACTAAAAGTATGCTTTTAGCAATACATGTAATGACATCCAGCCTCTTTCTTGGTGGTATCACGCCATCCCCGTTATTCCAAAAGCTGGGATTTCAACTTTCAAACCCAGCCATTTTTTCCAGTTGAAGACTTCTAGTGTGCATGTTATAATTTTAGGCTTGATTATTGGACCCATAAGCATACATGTGGTAGACTAATTCAAGAGTTTCCATACTCAATTTTCCTTATCACGACTTCTGTTCTTATTTCAGTTTCTTGTCAGAAAATGCCCAAATGTCAGCTTGACCTGACAGAGCATTCCGTACTTTAGAATGATTATTTGATTAGAAAGAAAAGTTAAGTTGGTGCTTACACATAATATACAGGAAGCCATAGAGAGGCCATATAGCATAGAAATGGACTCCAGAAAAATTGCAGAAAGGAAAGAAAAAAAAAGGCAAAAAAGAGCAAAAATAATATTGCTAGAAGATGCTAATATACCTTTAGTAATGAACTTGGGTAACATAGGACTGTATTTCATTAGAAGTTGCATAACTTTCTCTCCCATCTGTAAGCTAATCTGTCTCTGCAAATGCTGTTAACTCATCGAATTTAAATCACACAATATTGGAAAAATTATAAACAGAGGAAACAAAACGAACTTACCATTAATGGACCCTCAGTCTTCAACTTCTCTGTAGCTTCGTCTTTGGGTTTAGGTGTCTCTAGATTTTTCTTATCAATATCTATATTCACAATGCATGGTGAATGAGCATCTGCATTTTCCATCTTTAGATCGTTGTTTTGGCAATTCATTTGCGCGTCCAAGCACAACTGACTTTTAAATGGATTGGGAACTTCTAAGAGGGTTACGAAAGCCAACTGTGATTCACATTGCGTATTGGTCGTGCCCTCGTCAGGCAAAACTGAAATGCTATAGGCATCTTGGCTCTGCACAAAAGGGAAATATAGGCTCTTCTCAGATAATGTTTTTAGATTATTATTTTACCAACAAACGCCCAACAATTTAGAAGGAAACAAATACGAAAAGCAGGTTTGGGAGAAGGTCAGCGAATAAGTATCTAGATATTAATCCACAAGAAAATATTTGAAAATTACTTAAAATGAACAAGAATAATTAGGAGATAAATGACTTCTATCAGAGCTTATATTCAAAAGAATGGTAGACAACAAATACTTTAACATAATGCATACCAAAAATCTTAAAATTCAATGGTACTCTATTCATTCATCAAGAAAGAAAAAGAAATGGGCTAAATAGATATGTCAATTTAATTGCTGATTTTCTTTCCTGTAAAACAATTAAAGAAGCCTCAATACAGCAATATCATGCTGCTACAGAACGATTTTTTTTTTTTTTTTTTTTTTGATAATTACATGCTGCTACAGAACGATTTAAACTGTTGGTATAACTTGTTAAAGTTGATTTAAAAACAAAATCCACTCCAAGCTGTGCCAGTGCATGTGCTTTATGTGTGTCTCTGTGTATGTCTCATGCAAGCAATTCTGCATCTCAAAGAGAGAGGAAATTCTGGAGTTACTTAACTCAAACATGAATTTGCAAGTATTAACTAGTAAAATATCAGAAGGTGAGAATCTAATGGAATAACTGAATCCCAAAACAGGAAATTCCGACATATAAGGGTAAGAGCAATTGATTTGTGAGACCAATGATGAAAACCAAAATGATGAAAAGCCCCGTTTACATAGAGAAACTTGTCGTTTCAATGGGAGTGACATTAGGAGCTTAAAACACAATTCATGGCAAGATCACCAGTGCATGGTCAAAAATTTCTTAGAACTTGAATCTCAAGAGACACTGTTACTCGACGGAGACTGAAACTTGAGGGTCCTTCATGTGCCTTAAAGAACAAAAAGTTGGTTTCTGGTGTACATCTCACCAAGGCAGCAATCCATGTTTCAAAAATATGTCATCCTTGTTCTCTACCATTTTTGGAGTTCAAATTTTCTATTCACCACCACATAAACAAGTAATATAGAACATTCAAGCTATTTCACGCATCAAACTCATACTTGAACTGAAACGAGAACATCAAATAAGTAGTGACGGGGTAGGGGTATTAAATAAGGTAGTACTTAGTCTGCTGACTGAATCCGCAATGTTCCACAGAAGAATTTACATGTGAATTGTGAAAAGGGGCATAACCAGATTCCAGAAAATCTATCAAACATTCTCATGCAACCGGGTTATTGAATCATGTAACTGATTTCAGTGCACTACAATCATCTTCAGAAACTAGTGGTTGAATTAATAAGGCCTCTGCTAATGGAACTGAAAGTGTGTGACAGGTAGATTGCAACTTCCTTCTGCAATGTCCTGCAGGTACGGTTTCGCCTACTAGTATATATGTGTCAACCCATTGCATAAACTAGCCTTTGATAAGCAAAATAATCGATATGATTCAACATACACTATATATACCAAATCATGGTTATGCAAAGACAGAAAATAGCAAGTAGCAATAGTCCCAACCCTTTGTCTAGAATTCAAAGAAGCTATCCCAAGTGTTTCTTTTTTTTTTTTTTTTTGTCCCGATAGGTACACATGCCCCTATTGGGGCTTGAACACTCAACGGGGAGGAGGAGGACATACCACTCAAGCCAAGGCTTTGGTGGTAAGCCATCCGAAGTTGAAGTTGACTATACCCTGATTTTGCAGTCAACAATCAACTAGTTCCAATTCACGGTCCCAGATATTCAAAAGGACCACATATAAAGCACCATGATCTAAAGTTGAAGTTGACTATTCCATGATTTTACAGTCAAGAATCAACTAGTTCTAATTCATGGTCCCAGATGGATCAAAAGGACCACGTATACAGCAGAGCACCATGTAGTGGAGTTGCAGTATATATCTCACAGTCTTGCTCAAATGTTTCTTCATATGCTTATGTTCATATATCTTAATAGGGAGTACAGAGATTCAACACCACAAAGGCAACAGTATTAGGATCGACAAGGGCCTATAAATCCAATGGAGTTCGATCGCAATGCAATGAATACCTTCCATTATAAAGTGGCACTCACATTGAGTTCAATCATTAACCATTAGGCTCCATTTTTTCGGACGAAATTAGCTGGTTAAAAGATTTTCAGGGGAAAATACACAATTTATCTTTTCATTGTTTGTTTCAACAGAATATAATTTCCTGAAAATGTTGGAATAGTTTTCTTTTTCTTTTCTTTTTTCCCCAAGCTCCATTGATCTAAACAAATTTTACCCTCGAAAGACTGGGGAAGAATCATTTATCTCCTTTCATTTAACTCACACCACACAATTATAAATTATAAATGCTTTACAAGACAACTTTTGTTCGTCCAAAATTATAAAGGTGGGGATTGAGTTTTCTCATTTTTCTTGGAAAATTTACCCAAAAAGAACCGTTGTTTGGCGGAAATATTTTCCATGGAAACAAACGGACCTATTAGGTGTTGAAAGCCACGATTTACAACTAGACTAGCACAAATTGTAAAGCAGAGACGAGAAAAAACCAGTAATAGAACAGCAATAAGATCAATCACCATAATAATGCGAACAGATTAATAGAAAGTGAGAGCTACACTCCAAAGAGAACAATAATGAATCAAAATTAAGGGCTCGAAATGCAGCAAAAACTAGAGAATCAGAGCTGAAATAGTTGCAAAATTGACAGTGATTGGATAGAGAGAAAATGAGAAATCTGACCTCGCAGGTATTGACCGCCATTTGAGAGATGGCTAAGAGAGAGAGTGTGTTTAGAAGTAGAGATTGATTTCTTCAGGAGTCAGATTCGGAGAGAGAGAGAGAGAGGTCTAGTTTCTGTTATGCATTTTTGAATCAGATGTATAGACTTGTTCAATGTAGAGAGAGAAAGAGAGAGATAGAGGAGAGGAGAGAGAGAGAGAGGCGCCTGGAGTGGGATACGAAGGTTTCATCGGAAGGAGGTTGTTTTCTAACTGGCACGATTTGCCAGGGAAGCTCTCTGATAACGACATTCATGACTGCGACAAAACTCCTCTCTTTCTTTCGGACCAAATTACCCTTCACTTTCTAAACTATGACTATCACTTCATTTTTTTTTTTTTTCTCCTTTTTTTTTTTCAAGATACAAATATTTTTATTATTGTTATTATGTTTTTTTAAGAGTAACCATTAGGAAACATAATATATTTTTTACATTGATTTTTCTTTTCAAACAAAAAATATTTTGATAAATTTTTATAGAGAAATATCACCCAACCATGAGTGTCTTACACACACAACTCCACCACATATGTTGTGGTGTAGGACTCATGAATTTGTGCGACATCCAACTAGTTTGAAGTCTATGTAACAATACACATTCTAGAAAGGATAGGGTAACGATTCTTTAAGTTTCGTTTGGGAGGTTGAGAATTTGAATTCTATGGAACCATTTCGAGAAGCCTAACAAAACATTACAAATGATATATGAAGGGGGAAAAAAAATCCTCTTCATTTAATCTCTCACTGGATTGGTCCAGTGAGGGATAAAAAAGCTAACTTGGTACTTGAGTTAAATTCATATTTATCAAGCTATCAATTTATACATACAACGTTCGTATAAAACATATATTGCGATATCTAATAAATTAAATTTTCACTTTATGAGTCCCACAATTTATACATGTATAAAACATATTGGGAAAATGATAATTTTGGCGACATCTATCTAACAACTTAAAACCGACATAAATAAAAAATATTAACTTGGTAAGTAACATAATACCACGTAATAATCATAAATATTCTCTCTTGTTCGCACGATCTCCTATGTTGCTGTCATAGTTCATTTGAAATCATTGGCCGTAACCACAGCGACTTGGTGATAGAGATCTATCTCTGTGAGCGAAATTATCCCAAAATCTCATAGATATATTCCAATTTCTCTCTCATTGAAAAAAAATCAATTAACGTTTTAAAGCAATTAGGACTATAAAACTAAACATTTTTTTTTTTGTTTTCTTCACCTTATCGGAGATTAGTTTCAATTCCAAATTTGGCCTTGCATCCTCACCTGCCAGTGATCTCTCCTGCAAGTGCTCAACGTTTTCTCCAACACCATTGTCTAGCCCTAATCCTCGCCATCGAATTCGACACCAACGAGAGCCCAAACAATCACATCAAAATCAACTTGAACAACATCGAATCGAAAGAGGTCCCTAGATTGAATTTGGGTAATACATATGTATTTTTTTATTATTATTTCTTTCTAGATGAATATACATGCATGATGAGCGCTGAAAAGTGCGTATTTAAACCCCTTAAGCTTGAGTGTTCTAGGACATTTATCTATCTTTTTTTATTTTAGTACTTATTTGTGTTTTTGTCTATTTCAGGTCAATAATGTTAAAATGGGCTAAAAATGGTTTCTTAAGGCCTTTTTGGAGTCAAACTAAGTCTTAGTGATGATCCGGAGCAAAAAGAGGCTGATTTGGAGCAAAAAGAGATTGATGCTGAAAATCTGCCAAGTTGGATCGATCCAACTTTTTCTGAGATTGATCGCTTTTTATGAGATCGATCAAAGTTGGATTAATCGAAAATCAAAGTTAGATCGAGCAAACTTTTCTCTGATCGATTGAAATTTTGCTGGCAGTGAGCTGTCTTATTCCCGTGCGCGCCCAAAAGTCCACCTACCACATAGTACGGGATTAGATATTTTTGGAGCTATATTCCTGACTTAGTAACTAAGAAAAGAACTTTCTATATAAAGGGAAGTGACACATTTTGTAAAGAAGCTTTTTATCTTTTTTATTTTTATATTGTATTTTTTATTTTTCTATCTAGCAAAGTTAGAGATTAGGGTTAGAAGAAAAGGGGGAAGTGGAGGCACATCTCAAGATCCATTTCTAGACCACTCTTTATCTCCATCTCTAGAGCTTCAAAGAAGAAGAAGATGGAGTCATATTTGGAGCTTGATTCCATGACTACATCCACCTCCTCCATGATTGGCTAGATCTATACTTAGGGCTTGGATGAGCCCTAAGTCTTGTGTAATCCAAACCTTTGTATTTCTATTTTTGGGGATTTATATATATTGTTGTGATTAGTGTTCTGGCCTTGTGAATTTAATGAATCTTGGTATATTTCTATGATTTCTATGGTTTAATTCTTCTTATTAATTCTCTAGTTTATTTACATGTCTATGTGTGATTAAATTATGAATTATGTCTCACATGATTCATATGGTTTAATTCTTCCTATTGATTATCTATTTTAATTACATGTTGTCTTATGTGTGATTATTTGAGAATTGATCTATACACTGGTTTTTCTATATTAATTGCATGTCGATGTGTGGTTGATTGAAAATCTAGTGATGGCTAAGCATGGGTTTTCATTGAATAGATTTGTCAATTAATTTGATGGTTTATACTTATACTTGAGAGGTTGTTCTATAATTTAATTCATGCTTGTAGGTAGGTAGACAATCTATGCTTGTTTAGATATTCCATGACTTATTATCGCAAGTTCCATGATTCTCTAGATTGATGTATGCTACAATTGTTGCTACTTAGTTGGGTCATGCTTAAAATTGATGGGTTGTGCTACACTTAGTTTAAGTAGACAATTCATACATAAATTAGATGGTTCATGCTTAATATTGCAATTGGTAGTCGCATTTTGTTCATAACAATGTATTCCCCATAAATGGAAAATAAGTGGTTAATTACACGAGCTTAGTGGTGATTCCAACACCTTAAATCCTCTCTTCATATCTCTTAAATCCCTATCTCTAATTAGTTTTATTTCACTTTCATTTTAATTAATTGTTTTCTAGTTTAATCAATTAATCTCTATCTTTTGCAATCTTGTAATACGCTAGAGTTGAAGTTAAATTCCAACACGTATAATCCCTTAGGACGATTCCTACTCACTCTTGCTACTTTAGTAGTAGTATTGGTAATGGTTTTTATAAATTTAAACTTGACCCAAAAGGCTTTTCTTGAACCGCACATTCACTACATTATTTTGGCGTATATCAAGCAGCCTCGTCATTGCACAATTAGAGTTTGTTGTGATTGGAACAGAGATGATGCATGATTTCTTTGGTGGTGGAAAAAAAAAAATACAGTTGGCCCACACAATGATATACACGTTGGTGTCGTATTTTTGTAATTTTTAACTAGTCGGGGAAAATAGCACTACTCAACATATATATATTGTAATATTTAATGAATTTAATTTTCACTTTTTGGGTCCCACTGGACAAAATAAGTGGCATAAAAGTTGAAAATTAAACTTCTCACAAAGAAAAAAACCAAAAAGTCAAATTTGTATCCAAACGAAATGAAAACTTCACCTCATCAAAATTAAGTTTATAAGAAGCAAAATTAGACCAAACATAAAGCAAATCCAGAACACATTATTACATAAAGTGATGCTTTTTGATTAACGAGCTCTTTCTTCAAAGAAACAAAATCAGACCTATTTCGGAAAGAATATTCTAGCCATTTGGCAATGGTAAGTGATAGGATGTTATTTTTATTTTTTTGTAATTTTTTTCAAAATGAGAAAACAACTATTATCTTATTTAGGTGACTTTGGTTATCCAAAGAATTTGAAATTTGGGTTATTAGGTCCGATGAACATAAAAAATCTTATAAATCCAAATTTTTGAATGTATTTTACATTTCTTTTTTAGGGTTTCGTTATTTCTTAGGGATGTTCAAATTTCAATCAACTGGGACTCATGAGGTGAAAGTCAATTTATTAAATAATAGATATGTTGTATATGGAAGTTGTATATTAACTAAAAATTTAGTAACTATAAATTTACGGGACGGATCCTCTCCAAGAAAAATTTGACTCATTGGATATACTAAAGGTTACGGCACTTTTATAAAAATATGTAACTATGTTAAATTACAAAATTACCCACATTAAAATATATATATATATATATATATATATATATATATACAAATTATATACGATTCAACTCTCTTTTTTACTGATTTTTTATTTTTCATTTTTGTTAATTCCAATTAAAATTAATTATGATCCTTCAACTTGTATTTATATCCGATTTAGAAAATTAAATTATAGTTGTCCAATAATATATATTTAAGAGTTTGAACAGTTTTGTTGATTGCCATCACCAAGCATTGGAATTATTAATTGATTTGAAGGCTTCAAGCTTGAAAAGTTTTGTTGATTGAAGGTTTGAAGCATTTGTTTGCCACTTTTCAACAAATTCTAGTGAACCCAATTCGAGCGCATGGACGCCAGAGACACCATCGCCGAGACTCGAACCGTATATAATATGTAGATATATATATATATATATATATAGGAGAGAGAAGGAAGAGAGGAGAAAGAGAAAAAAAAAAAAAAAAAAGTTTTTTTTAGTGTGATTGAACCTGTAATTTAACATAGTTAGATATTTTAAGAAAGTGCGTAACTTTTAGTACATCCGTGAGTCAAAAAAGTTGTTGATGTGGCGTCTTAATAGTTGTAGGATTAATACCTGTAGATGCTTGGAGAGAATTTTTCTTGGAGATGATCCGTTCCCATTAATTTAACTCAATCGCCAAGTCAGCTTTTTTCACCTGTCAATAGACCAATCCAGTGAGAGAGAGTAACTGGAGAGAATTTTTTTCAACTTAAAGAGGCCTACCACTGACACAATTAAGAATAAGAAAATTAAAATTAAAAAATCTCTTTATGTTTTAGATATATTTTTTAGAATTAATTGTTTGGAATTTTAAATTAAAGTGAGTCAAATTTACGATGTTATGTATATCTAGTGATTCTTTATTTAAGAAGAGAAATGTATTTGATGAATTGAATTGTATTAAATGCCTTAGACACTATTGTTATAATTAAAACAAGGAGGAATGTATTTGATAAATTGAATTGTAGTATAATAACTATTGTTAGAATTAAAACTAAAAATGACCTTTCTCCAAACTTTTTTAAAGAGAATTTAATACTCAATGCTTTGAAAAGGTAAAAACTCCATTATTCAACTCTTAACTTTTCAAACCCTACAATTAAGATAATGTCATAATGTCACTATTATTAAATCTTTAAATGTACAACCTTTAAATTCTTCTTCAACTCTATCTTTGAACCCCTAAACTCCGTATGCTTTTAAGACTTCTTTAAATCTATACTTTATAAATTATGCAAAAGCCGGGCAAAATAATAATAATAACTCAAAAGGTCAACCCCTTTTTAAACAAAAAAATTAAGGCTCCATTTTTTTTTTCGGTTTTGTCA